AAAAATAACTACAACTTTTTATTTTGTTAATTAATATGTAAGCAAACTACTGAATTCGTTTGTAATAATAGTCGCTTATCAAACTATACACCAATTGACACCAAGAAGAATGATAACGTAAATTCTATCTAAGAAATTTATGAAACTTTTTCTCAATAGAATTAAGCAAGGTGTGACATTAAAAAATTAAATAAATATATTACATCAATTTTTATTATAGATGCTTAGTTTTTAATTAACACCAGTTGTTATTGATTTAAATTTTATATCGTTTTCTACATAATGTAAAGTATTATATGTGTAACAATGTAGTGAAGTGATACAAATGTGTCTAGATTTGCATCAATTTTATTGAACTGATGTAACACAACTCAATAATGACATACATCAATTTTGCAATTGATGTTAAATTATAATTTTTGTATTGATTATAAATAAGTTATACAAATTAAGTATCATTAGAAAACCATATAAACAGAATAAAATTTTGCAATTTGGACATCGGTTAAATCAAAATTCTTGATCATTTGGATTTTTTTTAATAATAATTCTCAACTATTGCCCAAAATTATGAACCTATGTGGCACATTGAATATATTATGTGTTTCTTCATCAATTGAATAGTATATTTTCATTAAAAAAAATATTGAATCATACTATATATGTAGATCATAAATACCTTTTTATTAGTTATATGATAATTCAAAATAATATAATAGTAAAATCAAACAAATTTGATAAAAGAATCCAAATTTTAATCCAACCTAATTGAATATACCCAAAATCTTTTGTAGTCTTTCGAGTATTTTGATTATTATGCCTATTTTATATATATACTAGCAGTTGATCCGCGCACGGGGAGGTTTATAATTTATTTTTTATATTTTGATATTTCATTGTTATTTCATTTTTTTCTTCGGTTTTTATTGTTGTCATTTTTTGTTATTCTATTTTTTATATGGATTTTTTTTAAATTTTGTATTAATTAATTTTTATTGTTATTTGTTTAATTTAATTTAGACATAATAGTAGGTGTTAGAACCTTATATTTAAGAAACTTTCAATTCTTGTAGTCCAAGTTTGTAGCCCAAGTTATTCTTTTGAGTCTACTGCTATTTCTTTTGGTCGGCGAGTCCATTAGGTTTGTTTTTTCACTTTTCTTGTACCTAAAATCGATTGTGATCTTGCTTGAGGTGGCTTGGGATGAAATCAATTTAGTGGTATATCTATGTGTATATAATAAATGTCCATGTTTTGTATTTAGACCCATAAATTAGAAAATTATTGCAAACCTTTTAATTAGATTAAATACAATTTGAATGAGTTGTCGAACTATATAACTGAAATGAAAAGAAATATGCTTAGTATATAAGACTACTTATAATGGGCATGAGGTAAAAAAATATTCAACTTGCAAACAGTGCAATGGTTGTTGTAAAAATGTTGTTAAGGATGTGGTAAATTTGGTGTTGATAAATTAAACACCATGGATTTTGCTTCAGTGTAGTAGTTTTTCCCATGTGTTATGTTTTTAGTGGCCATTAAAATTTATGATATATTTTTTCACCCTAATTATTTAAACTCAGTTATTTCATAATGTATTATTATATATATATATATATATATATGTATATATACATAATTTATAACAAAATTCATCATTTTCAATACTCTATAGATAAATAATTTTTTTCTTTAATTTCACCATAGATTTTTCTTATTATATTCCTTTTTTGTTAAATTACTATTGAATATATAAATAAATAAATGTTAAAAATTATATTGTAGAAAAGAGATAAAATGACATAGTTTTAAAAGTTAAAAAGTAGGATGTTTTAATTTTAAATCAATGTAAATGTTATTTTTAAATGATGAGGTGGCATATGATGTGGCGCTGACGTGGCGCTGACGTGGCGGAAGGAGAAGTGAGAAAATGTAACTTTATATATATAGATTTTGTTTACGAAAACACTTATTTAAATAGCATATGTAATAATTTCCAACTTATACCTCTTTTACTCTCATATGATTCTTAGTTATTCCCTCCGTTTTTTATATTAATTGTCGCTCTAGAAAAATTTATATTACATAATTTGTAATATTATGTAAATATGTATTCCAGGTCGGTTCAAAATTAAAATTTACTACCCGAACTCACAATCGGATACTTATTTACTATTATTATCATTGTAACGTCCCAACCGCCATCTCTCCAGTGGGTCCCATGTTTACCACCAGTCCATGGATTCACCTCTCTTAATAGGCTTTACGTCCTCTCACTAGGCCCATGAGCCCATTGATATCCGACAATCGGTTTGTTACGTCCGGGAGGTTTAAATACTTGTTTGTCGACCATACAAATCATCACATGATCTTTTCCTGTGTTTTGGCCTCACTCACTCAGTTCCGACAACCACTTCCGGAAGGTCACCTATTCTCTGACTACTACAGCATAAGCACGCTTAAATCTTGAGTTCTCTTACAACCTTTGACCGACAAGATAAACGCACTTTGGTGACATATATGACCAAATCAATTCATTTAAACCTCTACGCAAATTGGGGTCTCACAATCATAATCAAAATCACAAACAGTATTACTATATATTGAAGATATGGTAATATTTGGTTGTTAGCAAAAAATATAAACTAATAAAATGATGATTACATTTTTTTTAATATTGTTATACTAAACTTATTTAAATTTAAACAATTTATAAAAAATGAACATGTGGTACACCACCGGATAAAATCTAAAATGTAAAAATTATTTACCTACTCTTATTGCATAACAGCAGCTCCATTAGTTAGATACTCGATGGATATCAAAGTAATTATAATTTAGTTTAGTTTAAATTAAACTCGCATCCTCTGTTAATTTTGGGCCTCCATTGGTTAGATACCCATCTACAAGATTTTTTAGTAAATTTGTTGATATTTGTTTTATAGTTTATGTTTATTTATAAAAAGAAAATTTCTTACAAGTTTTTTTTTTAGTAAAAGATTATGTAAATATTATTTTAAAATATATCAAAGTACATTTCAACTACACTTTCCCCCAAGATTTCATTAATTTATTATAGTTATTTATAACAATACTACTAATGCATTTATTATATATCATATAAAATTACAAAAGTGCATTTATTTATTTATAAAATAGAACCAATAAGAAATTGACCTAAGGGCTCTAAAGTATCTCGTTATCTCAGCTTTTCCTATTAAAAATTAACATTTTGATTTGTTTTTAATTGTTTAAATGTCACATACCCATCATCATAAAACATTTGTCACCAGACATGTATGTGTCTTCTAACTTTGACAATTTATTTGTTGAAATATTAACAAATATTCATTCATTTGTAACACAATTGACTTCCACAACCGACCCATATATTCATTCATGTACGAACCGACCAAATTCATATGATCCCATCAAAGTTAGAAAAGCTTTCGGTTTACCACAAAAATCGTACGGACGATTTTATTCTTTTTCTTTTTCAATGCTTAAAAACTTGTTTCCATATATGGTAAATAAACAATTTTTTAATTGAAGAAATTATATAATCGAGGTTCCATATTTTTTTTTTAACTTATTTCAATAAAAGAAGAACCACTCCTTTTCTAATTTCTATAGTTTTGTTGTTGTCTTTTCGTCCAAAAGATATAACAAAACTTAGACACGTGTTTTATTTTCTTTTATAGATTAAACATCTTTTTTTTTTTTTTGGACAAAATAGATTAAACATCTAATCGTCTCTTTTAGACTCTAAAGTAAATATGAAAAGTGTGCGATGATTAACAACGGCTAAACTCAATTAAGTAATATTTCAACACAAAGATATATTGAACAAATCACGTTTTTAACTTTTAAATGTCACTAACTAATATTTAAAATTTGAGAAAATTTCACGAATATTATAATTTATAAATCATTAAAATAGTTATATTTATTACTCTAATCTTTAAAACTAGTTTTCATGTTTGCTTTACAATAAAAGAACAATAGAAACAATAACGTTTGTCAATACGGAATTATAGAATGTTAGTGATATTTTTTAATCTATTATTCAAAATCTTAAACAATATTAGATTTAAATTATGCAAAATATTTTTATTAAACCACTCCGGAACAGATTTTATAGTGTTAAATCAAATTTTCTCCAAATTTTTTAAGCGATATCTTATAATACTTTAGAAATTAAAAATGTGATTTTCCTTTTTATTTTACCTTTGCTTAATAAAATGTTAAATAAAATTCCATAATGCAATGAATCTAACTATGGATAAGAAAAGATTGTTGTGACGTAGTACAATTTTTGGAATTTTATCAAACTCCATGGATAAGAAATGATTGTAGTAATGATGTCGGCAGTTACAAGTGATGTAGTTAGAGAAAGATATGTAATAACTCAATTCGGACATGAACTCATTTTAAAACTTATCTAAAGAGATCACCGACGAAATCTTTTCGGGTCTTTCACAAAATTTGTACTTTGATTCCTAAGCCTTTCGTCTGAACACACGTGTTTTTTTATATTCAACATGTGCATTTTATAAACCTTTATTTTAAGTGTTACTTTTTCATTTTTACAACTAAAAGACAAAATGAAATATTGAGTGTAGCTAAATCAATCGACGTGTACTGATTCATGAATGTCTAATTCAAGTAGGTAAGGAAATCTTTGGTTATGTCTTTTTTTATCCACATGACACTATTTGTATGACGGCTAGAGAAAGACATGTTGGCTTGGCCATAGAGACTATATGAACTATATAAGTCTCATTCCACTTGGCTCTATACATATCTTTATAACATTCATCTCTCTACTCGAATAGAAACGTTACGACCAAAACACAAAACTGGCGAACCAACGTGAGTCCAACGAGGGAACGGGCAATGGCCAATATTACTACAATGCGGAAGAAATAACAAGAATCATGAACGAGCCAGAGTATTATCCCCCGGGTTATAACTTGTCTACCACCGCGATTTCGGCTATGGTTTCTGTCCTGACTGATGTTGTCTCGGGCGAGGCGGAACACTCGGGTTCCACCACGTGGACGACTGGTCATACGAGAGAAAGAGAAGAGTTTGTTTTGCCTACTCAACCATTGGTCACTAGTTCAGCTGGTATGTGTTAATAAACTTCAAAAATTGTTATTTGTGTGCACTACTAATTAAGTACTAACGAATGAAACAATGTACAGAAGAATGTGAAAGCTCAACAACGTCTTTGGAGAAGCCAAAGAGATATAGAGGAGTGAGGCAACGTCCATGGGGAAAATGGGCCGCGGAGATTCGAGACCCGCACAAGGCGATGCGTGTTTGGCTCGGCACCTTTGAGACAGCCGAGGCCGCTGCTAGAGCGTACGATGCAGCGGCACTCCGCTTTAGAGGAAGCAAAGCAAAGCTTAATTTCCCTGAAAATGTAGGAACTACTCGGTCGATCGAACCAGATTCTCATCACTTCTTGCAGAACTCAATGCAACCTCCTCTGACATACTTGGAACAATGTCCAAGTTTATCATCTTCCTATGATCAATGGACTGAGTATAATCAATACAACTACCCATCTTATGGTTAATAATTAACATATACATTGTCAAGGCTATGTATAATGTATCTCTTTTTATTCATTTTGAGAGTTCATCACTTCTAATACAACTTCCTTTTCATTCTTGTCTCCTTGGATATGTCTTCTAATGTTGTGAAGAATATACAACTTGTGATCAAAGTCTTGTAATTAGCGTATGATTCTACATTACAGGGTAAGAATCCATGTGTTGCCTAAAGTCATATTTATTTCAGTAACAATTTTCATTTTTGCGTTTTAGACATCTATATATCACTTTATTAAAAACAAATAAATCTCTATATTAATCATTTATAAATGAACATAGTGATGAAATTTGAATTTGCCTCTTGAGGTAGCTTCAATTCAAGTGATACGTACACAATATGTCCCACACACTCAAAAATCTTGAATAGAACATGAGTTTGGATGTCATTGTGCTATCGATTTATGTATGTAAATTAGTATCCAATGTTGATGTCAAATCTCGTTTTGACTTATTTGTTGTCTTTTCTTTTATACATATCTTTTGTGTACAGAAATAGTATATATATGGGCCTGTTCGGGAATGAGTTGCAGTGACGACGACTCGCGGCAAAAATTAATCACTTTTTACTTCTCTTTAAGTTTTTCTTAGTGGAGTTATTGAATTATGTATTTTAAAAGAATGAGATGTATTTGAAATCCATAAAAAAATTAGTTTGATAAAATATATTAAAATTAGTTGTTATTCAGTGTCTTATATATTTTGATGGATTTTGGTTAAAATGAATTTTAATGACTAAAACATGAGTAATCAAAACTTTTCCATTGGTTTTTAATATATTCTAGAAAATAAAAAAACAAATGAATATCTATCTCCTCCACTTTTATCATTGTTTCTACCAACACTAAGTGGTTTTCAGTCTTGCTCATACTCTACAATACTCTAGAGAATATACTATCACTCCCCAGCAAACCCACCATCACTACCACATGAGAACTCCACCTCCACGATTTTTTTGAACGAATATTTGAGAATTGTATTGGTGAAAAACCAGATCTTGTTGGAATCTTAACCTCAACACCACTACTATTGGGAATTGCATTTGTTTTTAGTTTTAGTTATTTCTTTTTAATTATTAACAAATCTTATGTGACATATTTTTATTGGGCAAATGATATCAGTTTTTTTTTTAAAAAAATTCTTTCACCTAGAATACTTTATAATAATATTAAAAACATTATAATTAAAAATTAAAAATTAAACCAACATTCATCTAATACATTTCACTGTATTTGTTTTAGCTGTTTAACTATGAAATCACTCAAATTAAAACTCAATCAGGGAAGAAGCAAGTTACCAAACGAATCTCTTCAAAAAAACTCGTATGGGCTTAGGCCCAATAGCTTAATTCGGCCCATATTCAAGGCACTCATAAAACCTAGGTGGCTTACTATAAATTGAAAGTAGGGTTTTAAAGATCATTTCTCTCTTGCAGTCCTCATCGTTGGAGCATAGCAGCCGAAGGCCACAAGGTTCGTCTCTTTCTCTTCTTCATTTCCTCTTCCTCTATCGTGAATTCACCTGACAATGTATATCTAGCTTAATGATTCTCTCTAGTTTAGCGAATTTAGCATCATAGTGTTTATCACTTGATACATTTTCTGAATCTCTCTGTGTTTAGAGTTTGGTTCTGAAGCTATCATTTTTATCATTGTATGTGTAGAAGTTTTGTGTTTGTGGTCTCTTATGTTGTTGTTGTTGTTGTATTGATGTGAGTGTAGAAGAAGGAGAAGAATGTCTCACAGGAAGTTTGAGCACCCAAGACACGGTTCTCTTGGTTTCCTTCCAAGGAAGAGAGCCAACCGTCACAGAGGAAAAGGTTTGATTTTTGGATTCATTTAGTTTCATATTTGGTGGATTCGTTTTGTCTTTTTGTTTGCTTACATGCCCTTGTTGGTTTAACAGTGAAGGCTTTCCCTAAGGATGACCAAACCAAGCCGTGCAAGTTCACAGCTTTCATGGGTTACAAGGCTGGTATGACTCACATTGTCAGAGAAGTCGAGAAACCTGGATCCAGTAAGTGATATTTGTGTTTGTGTTTGTTCAGATGTGTCTTTAGTGAGCTTCTTTGACTTTGGTATTGTTGTTGTTGATAGAGCTTCACAAGAAGGAGACATGTGAGGCTGTTACCATCATTGAGACACCCGCTATGGTTGTTGTTGGAGTTGTTGCCTATGTTAAGACCCCAAGAGGTTTGAGGTCTTTGAACACTGTCTGGGCACAGCACTTGAGTGAGGAGGTTAGGAGAAGGTTCTACAAGAACTGGGCCAAGTCTAAGAAGAAGGCTTTCACTGGCTACGCCAAGCAGTATGAAAATGAGGAGGGTAAGAAGAGCATTCAGGCTCAGCTTGATAAGATGAAGAAATACGCTACTGTCATCCGTGTTTTGGCCCACACTCAGGTACTTTTGCTTATTGAATGTTTGTGTTGACGCTAATATCTTCTGCACTCTGTTCTTGCTGACATTTCTTTGTTGGCTCTTAACTACAGATCAGGAAGATGAAGGGATTGAAGCAGAAGAAGGCACACATGATGGAGATCCAGATCAATGGTGGTACCATTGCCCAGAAGGTTGACTTTGCCTACAGTTTCTTTGAGAAGCAGATCCCAATTGAAGCTGTTTTCCAGAAGGATGAGATGATTGATGTCATTGGTGTGACCAAGGGTAAGGGTTACGAAGGTGTTGTTACCCGTTGGGGTGTTACCCGTCTCCCCCGTAAGACTCACAGGGGTCTACGTAAGGTTGCTTGTATTGGTGCGTGGCATCCTGCCAGAGTGTCCTACACTGTTGCTAGGGCTGGTCAGAATGGTTACCATCACCGTACTGAGCTCAACAAGAAGATTTACAGGTTGGGCAAAGTTGGTACTGAGGCACATTCAGCCATGACTGAATATGACAGGTCTGTAGATATCTCTGTTCTGATCCTTAACCTGTCATTTATGATTTCTTGGTTGACTGATGATAATGGTTTGGGTTATGATATAGGACTGAGAAGGATGTGACACCAATGGGAGGATTCCCACACTACGGAATTGTGAAGGATGACTACTTGATGATCAAGGGATGCTGCATGGGTCCTAAGAAGAGAGTTGTAACTCTGAGACAGTCATTGCTCACTCAGACTTCCCGTCTTGCCATGGAGGAGATCAAGCTCAAGTTCATCGACACTTCCTCAATCTTTGGACATGGTCGCTTCCAGACCACCCAGGAGAAGATGAAGTTTTACAATCGTGTCAAGCAGTAAGAAGTGTCGTTGAGTTAATCACATTTCTTCTTAGAAAGTTTGATGTTTGGTATCAGTTGCTACTTGTCTAAGAGAGATTATTATCCTTTAAACAATCCAATCCAGTTTTTGTTGCTTGTTCTAGTTTTTGCTATTTTGGAAGACAAATTATTTGCTTCTCAAGTTTTGAGTCTTTGAGTTAGATGTCTTCTTGAAACCATAACCAAACATGAAACCCTCTTTAAACTGGAATCTTGAAACTGTTCCCCAGTTGTCATTTAAATACTGATCTAAAACCATTGTTGTAGTTGTCAAAACTGACATTGATCCTAGTCGTGTCATGTAGCAGAGTAGACAGTGAAGAACTAATGTCAAATTGTCAATAGCATCGATCTCCATGGCCATACTATGCTATGTCACGACGTGAAGGCCATGTCACGACGTGAAGCTTCTGCTTACCAGGAAGATCAACAAGGCAACTACTATTTTTCCATGATTATTGCGGAAGACATCAATGTTATCCTTTCCTGATTTATTGCACTAAGTTAATCTCATAGTCTCCTTCCGATGTTTACAATCCGTTGACTGCAATGTTTATGTAGCTTCTAAAATCAAACTATGCAGAGAGAACAAAGAATGATACAATGTTCTAGACTTGTCTCTTGCCATTTCCTCTCTTATGTCTTTATATTACCATTAAATGTTGAGCCCATAAAATCAAGACAAACAATTAAAACCAACAAGTTAAAAGGAACAGAAGAGTACGAACAAGGAAGGAGCAGCGAGTTTCGACTCAAAAGAAACATACATTCATTAATCCTCACCAAACCCTAATGTTATTAGAGTAGATTGTGAGAGAGAGAGAGATAGGCCTTTCGCGATTTTAAATCGTCTGTAGCTGGGAGAAGGAGATTCTGATAATTGATCCGCCTAGAGAAGTCGCGTGCTTGCACACCAATGTTTCTGCAGCTTCCTCCTCGTTCTCAAACTGTACCAGGGCCTGCTTTTTCCCGTTCATCTCAAAAACTTTTGTGTTCACTATTGCCCCATGTTCTTGCACATGGTTTACTACTTCCTCCTCTGTCACGTCTTGAGGAAGTGTCGATAGGTGAATCATCTTTGTAGGGGAGCAGCAATAGCGGTAGTTCTTTGCAGCATTGCGGTTGAAGCGGTTCAGGTTCGAGTTTACATAATCATGGGAGTCTGTGCCTGGTGTTATATTAGGATGCTTCGAGAAGTTTACTTCTAACCGCTTACCAAACAGCATCGCTCCCTGCAAAGAAACACAGCATAACACAAATTAACAATTCCATTTCACATCTTTCATAACTCATTACTTGTCCCAAATACAATCTCAAATGTGCATATATTGACAAAAAGGGACACGTAAAAACCTTGAGGAAATGTACTGCAAGCTCAGCCTGGAAACCATCACCCATTTGGACAAGGGCATGGTCAGGTTTGTTTCTAAGAAGCTTAATCCTTACAATGTTTCCGTAAAGAGAAAACAGATTGAATAACTTATCCTCATCAATACTCTGAAACAAATGAAACTGATTAGCCCGGAAAATATCGTAAGAAAAAACCAAGTTGTCAAAAGCAGAACGGGAAATGACTAACTTACATCTGCATTCAGATTGGAGACAAGCAGAGTACACCTATCATTTGTGCCAGTTATACCCGGAGGCAAGCCTCCTCCAAAGGCAGCTGCAATTGCAGCTGTGTTTGCCATCTAGTATCAAAGTAAAGACACAGATGAAATTAGTTATGCATATACTTAAAACTTTTAAAGAATCACGAAATCAAGAATACACTAGAAGGTTCAATAAATGAAAATGGGGGAGAACCAAAAAAAAAAGCTACTTAGAGAACACATTTGAGAGAAAAGTGGTCAATGGTGATATCTTGACTAATATGGACCAAAAGAGTTGCCAAAACTGTGTATCAAGCTAAGCATTACCCACCTGAGGATATGCCACTGAAAAAAAGGAAAAATATGAATTAGCAAAAGACCATAGTATAGAAGAACAAAGAGAATCAGTAATCTACTATCATGCATACCTCCTACATCACCATAGCCGCCACCAGGCTGCAAGAGAAAAAACCCAGAACATTAAGACGGCTTAAAAGGATACAAAGCATATGTAGTTAATAAATAAAGCTATTCATACATGTGATGATCGGCCTTTTTGCTCTGCTGGCAGGTTTGGGTTTGTATAATCCCTATATAAAAGCTTAACAAATCAATTTATGAACATCAAACTTTATAACCGCAGAGAAGAAGCCAGAGACATAAAATCCATACCTAGATCGATCATTATTGTAATTTACTTGCAGCTCCTCAAGACTGAAGATGGAAGAACATATCAATACAGGCAACACTAGATCAAAAAAATGTAGAAAGTAACAATAAATTCCATTAACAACATATATAAGCAAACAGAGCATACTTTGAGAACTGGATATCCAGCTGACAACACCCATCATATATGTTACGACCCTGCCACAAAGAAGATGACATATATTTAATTCGGTTATCCGAAAGGTAAGGCAGAACTAAAATATTTTGGTAAGTTTTTAAATTTTTTTTATAGACAAAGCACCTGTAGGGCAGTTCTAGCAGAGGCAGCATACTGTTGTACTTGATACTGTATAAGAGCTTGAAAGCCTAAACAGCCCACAAAAAAGCTTAAAGTTAACGATCATCAAACTATTAAATGGAAGTACAAAATCTTCATAGAAATAATGTATCCTTATATAAAAGAGGCCAATGACATGAAAAAGTCAAACTGCAAAGTAATTCGTCAAATGAGATAAACCAATTATTTAAAAACCAATCCTACATACGAGCTATAAACCGAATAGAAGAGAGAGATAGAGAGAAAAGAAACGTGGAGAAGCTGACCAGCAGACTTCTGGAAAGTGACCAGCTTCTCGACAAATCCATAGGGAGAAAAAACTTGATGCAGCACGTCAACAGTAATTGGATACAGCATGTGATGGATTGTGACTAAGAGAATACGATTCGGCTGTACATCCACCATCCCACAGCAACCACCAGTCAGAAACAAGACGGAAAGAAGATAGAAAGAAAAGAAAAGAAGTGAATTAAGGGCGAAAATAGAAGTGCAGGTTAAGAACCACCGAGGGAAACGTAAACTACTCATTTGACAAGACAAGATATAAAACAACATACTTTGTAATGTAATTAATGACGCTAAATGGGGAAAACATTACAAACCTCATCTTCCCGTCCATGAATATTCTGCTCTATAGTTGTCAATTCTTGGTGAGAGGAGAACTGGACATACACATTCCTACCTCTAAAATTGGACATGTCCAAAGAAATGTCAGAAAAAGACAAGAGAACAAATAAAGAGGAATGTGATTGATTGGTCACAAACCTTATAGTTGGCTGAACATTAGTAAAAAACTGAAGGGCACTAACTGCTGAAGAAACATCTTGCATTTGGAGAAGAGCCTTCAAATAGTAATCTCAGGTTAATACCATAAGTTTCCTCATTAGACAGAAAGCACAAGAAAGTAGAGTTTTTTAAAACTAGAAACCTGATTCTTTGCCCTGAGCATCACAAGCTTAGTTATAACCCCAAATGGTTGAAAAAGCTGAAGCAAATCATTCTGATACAAAACAAGAAGCAACCAATCAAAGCTTGGCACAAAAACAAAAGGGTTGATGAAACATAAGAGCAAGTAGAGAGTTTTATATCTTTACTTCAGAAATCTCATGACCAACATTACGAACATGAATGACTTTGGAAGATTCAGCCATTTCTTCAAAACCTGAACAAAAACAAGAACAAACACAAACCCATCAAACTCAATCAACCAAATTCGCCACTCACATAATCAAAATCAAAACTTTCCAATTCCATTTCCCAACACAAGTAGATTCAGAATCAAAGAAGAGAGTTTTCCCTTAGACACTAATCAAAACACAAACATCGAATCAAAAAAAACACACAACATTGGACGAAATCGAAGAAAGTAATCAAATCAAAGCCAAGAAAACATCAGACATATCCAAATCGGCTTAGAAACACATACTCAGAAACAGAGATGAAAACAGAGAGATGCAGAGGAAGAGAGAGAGGGAACTTGGTTCGTCTCAGAGAGACAAAGAGAGAGAAGAGAAGAGAGAGGAGAAAGAATCTGAGAGTGTAGATCGAAGGAAGAGAGGCTCGAGTCTCGTCGTCAATGGTCTCGTTGTTGTGCTTGCTTTAACCCTATCTACTTAATTTATCTTTATACTATCGAACTTTTTCTCTTTTTCGTGCCTCTTTGTCTCTTTTAGCCAAACCCTTTTTTATAATCACACAACTTCTCTCAATTACTTTTGACAATGTTAATTTAATTTTAAAATTTATTACTTTCCTTTTAAAATTTAATTTAATTTTATGTTATTTACTTTAGATGAATACACACAATTATCTTAATTTTTTTTTTGACAACAAATCTATTAGATTGAATATTATCTAAAATTGATTACTATGCTTTTTATTATTTTATTACGGTGAATACGTATCATTGTCACATTAACTTTTAAAAATTGGATTAAGTCCTGCATATATGTGAGGGTATAATTTAAATTTAAAACTCATAAAAAGAACTAAAAATAGTAACTTTAGAAAACAAAATAAAATCATAGTACATGAAAATGCATTATATATATATATATATATATGTATATGAAACTTTTATGAATTTAATTACATAATATATCATTTAAAACTTTTTGCAGATCCTAACATTAACTTCTATTTTAGAGAGGGTTTAAAGGTAAAATTATAAACCTACTCAACAACATATATTTACAAAATTTAAATTAAATTATTATTTTGTATTTTTTTATTTTTTATGCAAAGGTAAAGTTACTAACTTTTTATAATTTTGAATCATAACATTTACTAATTTTGTTCTATACATATTTCTTTTACTCTTCCATGCATGTGATTAAATTTTACTATAAAAAAATAGTTGTATATGAAAAATTCAATAGTTACTTGGCATTTGTTATTTCATGCACAACACGACTCATCTTACTAATCTATATTATTTATCTTATCCTTTTAAGATCGTTAGTTTTATCCTTTTACTGACAAATTAAACTTTTACAAATTTATTTTTGTATCTATCTATCCTATTAATTGGTAAGCACAACAAGTAGCCAAACAGCCCCCAATTTTTTTAAAAAAATGTCATGAAAGATATATAAGTTACCAAACAATATTAATGACATCAAAATCTTTTTAATAAATAAGTAAATAATTAAAAACAGAAACTACCTATATTTATGGAAATCATTTTAATTTTGTTGCCAAAAAAATGGAACATTAAATTTGAAAATTTACATATGTAACATATTTAATTTGTTGAGATATGTTTAAACAATAATTTAATATTTATAAATGTGACTCTTTGGTTACATTTTTTAAAATTTGTGGTAACACAAACAAGAAAAATACACTATAACTACTGGCTCTATGTTTCAACAACCTAATAATTAACGGTATTGGTTTTTAATGTTGTTAATTATACTCTATATAATGTTATTTAAAAAATAATAACATGTAAATGATTTCATTTATATTAAAAAAATATATGATCTTATTTTAGAGGGAAAGAACGGGTACAAAAAGAAAACGGGTAATTCAAAATAAAATTTATCTAAACTATTTCTCATCAAAAACAAGACGATATAAAAAAAATTTGGAAACTTAAATTCAATTTTAAATTTCAAATATCAAATGACGGGTATGATACAAGAATTTAAAATTTAAATAGCAAAAGTAAGTTTCAAATTACTTAAATATTTCAAATATCGAGACAAGAAATAACTGATATGAAAAGAGAACGGACGGGTAATTTTATTAGTTAATTACATGCTATATAATGTTATTTTTAAAACATAAAACATGTAAATGATGTCATTTATATATAAAAAAATATGATCTTATCTTAGAGGGAAATAACGGGTACAAAAAGGGAACGGGTAATTAAAAAAAAAATCTAAACTATTTCTCATCAAAAACAAGACGATTTAAAAATATTTTGAAACTTCAGTTCAATTTCAACTCTTTCAAATATCAAATGACGGGTACGATACAAGAATATGAAATTTAAATAGCAAAAGTAAGTTTCAAATTACTTAAAGATTTCAAATATCGGGACAAAATAACGAATACGGAAAGAGAAGGGGTAATTTAGAAAATAAAAGTTATTCTCTTAACTATGTCTAATATTATACAGAAAAGAATTATGGGTAGCATGCAAGAAGACATATTATTTATTCATGTGGGTGGGCCAAAATATTTCAATTTGTTGCACGACATGCATAGTGAACGGGTTTGACTCTCTTGACATCTATATTTATGTTATTTTATTCAAATGTTTTAATGTTTTATATTGTTTTTATGTGATGTGATAGTTTGGGAATTTAATTGATTTCTAACTTATCATTAATTCGATTCACACTCGATCCGGATCTCTTATCATGTCGATCCGATATTGCAAACTTTATGATAAACTTAGGTTTTGCAATCAACTCCGCACGTACGTGCGGGTCCATCCCTAGTTCTAGTTAAATAAGAGTTAGTTTTAGTTATATCTGACTTTCATATTTTGTTTCATGAATCTACAAACAAAGTATAGAGTTAATTTTCAAATTGATTTTGTTCTCATCCTTTAAAGGTCAGTAATTGATTTCGACACATGTAATTTTTTTCTTATCCTTAAAACATTAGTAATCACTACTATTTATCAAAAAGTTTTTTAAATCTGTTGCCAAACAGAATCATTTAAATTGTTTCTAACAAAACCTATATTATAAAAATGGAAATCCTATTGCCAAATACTCTAAACGTGTTGTCAAACACCCTAAAAACGTATAAACATGCGGATCTAAATAACCAGGTAAAACGACCCGCTTTTAGACATACATAATATATAAACACGTGTTAGAGCCATATGTTTAAAATATTAGTTAGCTCTATTGGTTAATTATGTATCTATTGAGCACCATTTTCCGGGTTCGAGTATTTTATCGAGATTTTCGAAATAACTTTTACAGAAAAAACATTATTCTGTCGAGATTTTGATTCACATTAAAATGAAAATACATTTCATTGAAATTTAGATTTAACAAATATTTTTAATCGAAAACTTAGATTTAGTAAATTTCACAAAATAAAAATAATTGACTAAAATAAGGCTATAAAAAACTCACACCAATGTTGAATTGGTATAAATAGCCGATTAAATACTCAACATATTCTCATTCTTTTTCAGTTTTTAAAATAATTATAAAATTTATATTAAAATAATTATCCTAATAACAAGTCAATGTTTTGGTAATTTTTTCATATTAGAGCTAGTAATAAATGTGTAGATTTTTATAAGTGTGCTGATTTTTGAAATTTATAATTAGATTTTTTAGTTAAACTTTGATTGTTAGACACACTTTTTCTCCATATAAATATAGAAAAATATGTGACACTACATTCATAGCCAACTAGATGGTGACCCGCGCTACAGCGCGGGGAAAAAGTCTCGGATTTTTCATTTGATATAAATCACATTATATAAAGATCAATTAGTGGTGGTGCAGAGAGATGTTTATTAAGTGTTTGAAAGAGGGTACAGAGTAAAAAGAGCAAGTGCTAGGAGGAAAAAATACAAATATATTGTACTATATATAGTTTATACGTGTGTCGAGGAAACAAAAATTAGAGTTTATATTTTCTAAACGTATAAAGTAACAAATGCTTGTATACTAATTAATCGTCTAGCCAAACAAACTTCCTTGTATGAATCGTAGACTTCACTTTCGTATGTCCTCAAATCTTTGTCGACGTTGGTCCTTCTAAGAACCTGGAAAGAATTTTTCAACTTAGATCACACTTAATAATACTTGAATATGACGATGAGAATGACGGTTGAAGTCAAACCAAGCCAACACCATTGGATCTTGAACATTTTTTTTAATCTTTGTGGCTATTAGCCATAGTGTTTGAATGTAGGTATTTTTCTTTAGAAGACGTATTTTCTTTGTAAAAAACCCAGATTTTTTTCTCATTAAAATATTTTTCTTCATAAAGATCTTTCTTAATAATTTTGTATATATCTACACCATAACATAGATATATATGACAAAAAAAAGATATATTTGTGTGTAACTATCAACATTTATAGCATTATCATATATATGTGTGTGTTTTTTGCATTTTTATTACAAAAACCTATTTTAACAATGTTTTAAGATAAACTTTTCATATGTGTAAATTTTACAATTAGCTATCTAGACTTGTTGTAATTGAAGTAAGTGCTCATGGCAAGTTGTTTACGTATCTTGTATTTTTTCTTATGTTGTATAGCATAATTTTTGAAGTCTTGTTTATTTGACTATGTTTTTAACAGTGTATTTTGGTAGTCCTTATTAATTTTAGTACAAATGGAAAAGTTGTATTACGTGAAAATCCGAGAAAAAATGAAAACTAATCGAGAAAAGGTATGATCAGTACGCAAAAGTTAGGGTAAAATCGAAACTGATCGAGAAAAAGTTCTATCAGTACGTGAAAGTCTGAGAAAAACGAAAACTGATTGAGTAAAAGACGGGAAAGTAGTATTTGGAGAGCTAATCGGAATATCAACGTTTCTATTCGTTTGAAAAGAAGATATTCAATAGTAGGTATGAGACAAGAACAGTTAATTTCAGGTTTGATTTTCATATTTATTTTAAATATAGAGACATGAATAACGGGTCAAAGAACATCTTAATCTATAATTTTTTTTAATTATTCTCGTTAAATTATGGGACAATATATTTAGGTATCGTGATGGTGTTATAAAATCTGGATAGCTAATTTAGATTTCAACTTCTCTATATTAGTATAAGAGAAGTACAAAATAGAATGCGGGTCGGGTCAAAATTAAAAAATTAACCCGATTTTAACAATTGGATACTTCAAAATTGGATATTAAAATGGATTCGGATACATACATCGGATACTTTCCATATCTCATTTTAGGATTATTTTAGGGTTTCCTAATATTTCTCTAACTAATTTAATAGAATATATTAAAAACAATTATCATTCTTCTTTCACTTTTATTTGATCTTATTTTCAATTTATAACATTATACTTAATATAAAAAATGTTTAAAAAATTTTAAACTTTTTTCGCATATGTTGCAATTTGAATTTTTCAAAACGGACATATGATACT